AGAGAGAGAGAATTTTAATATTTATTTTTTAGTTATGAGCGGACACAACATCTTTGTTGGTATGTGGTGCTGAGGATTGAACCCGGGCCGCACACATGCCAGGCGAGCGCGCTACCACTTGAGCCACATCCCCAGCCCCAACTTTATGGCTTCTTAAGTCTCAAAGATTTTCATTTAGCCTGAACACGAGCCCCTTATTAAGAATAAAAATGTTTTATCATAGAAGTTTAAAACAGTCCTGAGTGCATCATGACTACTCAAAAGAGAACGTTTTCACGTTAATTCAAAAAACAAAGTCTAATTACTGAAGCAAATGATTCAATTTCCTATATTATAGAGGAGATCTGGCTCTAAATAACATTTTAATTTTAAAAAATCATGTATTTACTTGAAAATTGCCAGGAACTGTAACAAAAATTAATAACAAAATGACAAAGTGGACCTGGCTCTTGGTCAAAAGATGCTGCTTCTCATTCTTTGTGATGGTCTGTAATATTCAAATCCAGATTTGAGGTAATGCCAGACATTTCTGGAGAAGGATGGTGGTCAGAGAACCTTATTGTCTCATTCAAAAACTACTAAAAAAACCAATACCCTGAAATCTAAGAAAGTGAGGAAAATACTAAATCAGAAAGGGCACCAACTGTTTAGTCTCACTTGAGTTTTAGGTTGGTAAAATCAAGTGATCATGGGCTGAAATCAATCAGCGATTAACACCTATTTGTTGAGTATTTTCTTTAGGACTAGCATTACCACTAGATACTGTGAAGGATTTTCCAAAGTCTCTTAAGAGGAAATGATCAAAGGGCTAACCTTTAGGTTACAAGCACTGATGAAGTTTCAAGATAAAAAAGACTAATGTAGTCAGAAACTCAGATCTACAATATCTGTAACCCCACAATGTATTCCTAATAAGTGCTGTGCTTACCACATTTGCATGTGCTTACTAAATAATAAAGGAACATTAGGTAATAAGTGAATTAATGATCAAAGCATATGCTTTAACAACGTTCTGCAGATCTGAAATTAAAGAAAATGTTTCTCTTTACCAGGGATCTAAAATTAGATTGCTTTCTAAAAGTCAACTATAGATGCTTCTTACCCAGCCTGGCACCTGTGAGACCTCAAATAATGCTAAAAGTCACATTTCCTGTATGAGCCATCCAATTTAGCCTTGCTTTTCAGTAACCTCACCTGACAGTTACAATCCCATCTAGCAGCTATGAGCTGACATTCACCAAAGGAAGCATGGAATTGGTACAAATTTGTCAGTACTACATGGAAAAACAATAGCAAAACCTTTAATGAATATGTTCTGTTGGTAATGACATCTTCCTAATGAAATACCATATATTCTCATCATTCAGGAAGCATTTGTGTGCTATCTTGAGATTCTTACATTAAGTCCATCAGTAGATTTTAAGTGATAGCCACACAACAGTATGTTGGTAATTTATTGATATATAAAAAGTTTGTTAATGTATATGTTTTGGATCAAATTATTACTTATTAATGTTCTTTATTATTTAGTAAGGAAACTACATAAACCTTCTGCTCCTACATCTGTAATTTTAGTGTTTGAAAAGAATTGCCTCAAGCAGGATAGGAGTGGTAGTTAGGGCTGCTACTCATATCTTTTATTCTTTAGTTGCTGGAGGAAATGAGAGGATAGATTCTGCCTGTAGGTAGGCAGCATCCCTGAAGCAATTTGGAAGGAGGCACTCACTGCCATGTTCTTCATAACTTATAAAAACACTGGCATTAAAATAGGTAAAGGTAATAAAATTGAAGAAAATGGAGAAAACTGAAAAGGATCATGGAAGGAACTATTGGAACTTTATAAGGTCTAACTTTGAATCCATTTTTCCAAGGTTATTAAATTCTACTGTGTAATCAAAATGCATATTTTCCTACCCTTAGATAGAGATTCAATAAAAGTACATTCTGTATTTCAAATCAAGAAATATAAACCTGTGTTATGGGTGTAGCTTGGGAGAAAGGGACATGCTTAGCATTCATGAGGCTCTGGTTTTGATTCCCAGCAC